TGCTTGCTGGAAACGCAGCAAGACAGTATTGTTCAAGTCATATTTCACTCTAAAATCTTGCCTAATGTCCCATTTACACTAATATAATCCACATTAATTTTGTCTTCAGACACTGGTAGCAGCCTTTGCAGTGTAAGGCAAGTGGAGCCTACACAGCACAGGGTGTAAGTATGATATCAGTGGTGATCCAAGAACATCCCCACCGGTATCAATTCTGATGCTTCCAGTTGTGACGGTGTGCATTGACTGTCAGTGTGTTTGCAGGTGTGAGGGTGTGCGTTGGCTGTCAGTGTGTTTGCAGGTGTGAGGGTGTGCGTTGGCTGTCAGTGTGTTTGCAGGTGTGCATTGACTGTGTGCTTGCAGGTGTGAAGGTGTGCATTGACTGTCAGTGTGTTTGTAGGTGTGAGGGTGTGCATTGGCTGTCAGTATCCTTGCAGGTGTGAAGGTGTGCATTGACTGTCAGTGTGTTTGCAGGTGTGAGGGTGTGCATTAGCTGTCAGTATCCTTGCAGGTATGAAGGTGTGCATTGACTGTCAGTGTGTTTGTAGGTGTGAGGTGTGCATTGACTGTCAGTGTGTTTGTAGGTGTGAGGGTGTGCATTGGCTGTCAGTATCCTTGCAGGTGTGAGGTGTGCATTGACTGTCAGTGTATTTTCAGGTGTGAGGGTGTGCATTGGCTGCCAGTGTGTTTTCAGGTGTGAAGGTGTGCATTGACTGTGTGTTTGCAGGTGTGAGGGTGTGCATTGGCTGTCAGTGTGTTTGCAGGTGTGAGGGTGTGCATTGACTGTCAGTGTGGTTTCAGGAGTGAAAATGTATGTTGACTGATTATTGTACCATACCATTAGAAAACAGATTTCTTTCTCTAAAGCAGTTTTCTTTTTCTTTTACAAAGTAACTGCATCATGTGAAACAGGGCATTAAAAAGCATTTGGATTTTTGAGAAACAACTTTTTATACTAAAAATGAAACATAGAAAGAATTGTACTGCTAGACAATCAAGAGAACAGAAAGTGAAGAATTAAATTCAAGCAGAAATCAAGAAAAATTAAGATATTTTCATTTCTTTTTAAAGTCACTAGCTCTGTGTTGTCCAGAGCTATGGAGAAACAGAGTGCAGTTAGTAAAGGGGGGTTGAAAATCATCCTGAGAAAGGTTAGAGTTAAGTTTGAGCAGAGGGAACCAGAGTAGGTCAGTGCAATCCAAAACCAGACTTGGAGATTTGAAGCTTTTCCCACTTGGGTAAGCATGCTGCACTTAATCACCCTAAGGTTGATCTTCACCGGCCCGTGTCTCACATCCCTGCTGCTGCTTGCTCTTGGGTTTGTTGTTGTTGTTTTGCGATTTCCTGGCAGCAAACACGTAGAAAAATGTGCTTTATAGTTAAGTTAGCTTCTTTCAAAAACTGAAACCTCAAAGTGGAGACTGCACAATCCCAAGTTGATGCTTAACAAGAAACAATGGACAGGTCATTAAGAACTGGTTATTGATCGTTTACAGCAATAAGCCTTTGTTCTTTTGTATATGTAAGAGGGCATGTGTGTGGAAGGGGTTGTCTAGGGTATGGTTGCATGTACTCAAGTATGTGGATGCATGTGGTGTCCAAAAGATCTTTGGGTGTCTTTCCTCAGGCTCCATAAATGGTTTTTATTTAATTTGCTTGAGACAGTGTCTCTCTCTAGCATGGTGCCTGTAGGTGAGGCTGAGCAGAAAGTTCCATTATTGGATTCAGGCAATATGCCACCATGTTTGCTATGTTTACTTTCTTGGATTTGAGGACTGAACACACACACAGACACACTTATAAAATTTAGCAGGATTACTTTTCCCAAGGAAATATAATTAAGAACAACAATATACAATAAAGGTAGTAAAGTTGCTTTTATGAAAATGGTGTGTGTGTGTGTGTATGTGTGTAGGTTAGTGAATGGCAAAGAACCCAGCCTATGGGGTTTCTCTCATTCCTTCCTTTGGAAATGTTGAGAACTCTGAGGCTAATGGGAACCAATGAAAACCTCATGAATTAAGTCATATCCAAGTTTTCCTTCAACTCTAAAACAAACCCATGAGGTTCAAAGCTTTGGCATATTGCTCCTTAACAAAAAAAAAATGTTTCGCAAAAAGCTCAAACAAATTTCTTATTGTGTGTTTTCTTTAAAAATGGGCCAATTGGTCAAAAGTGAATGCTCGAGTCATTGGCCCAGTTTCTGTCAGCATATCCAGGCAACCCCCGAATGATCTCTTAGTAATTACAGCTTCCCTTACATATGTGAGTTTTTGAATGTTTGATGGCATACCTTATAGAGTTTTTTTAATATTCAAAATTTAGACACAAGTAATTAAAATGATGCAATATTAAAACCTATATTAACTTAGGTATTGAATATGAGAGAATTAGTGTCAGTTGTATGTGTGAAAATACGGTTTGTGTTTATTAAAGAGGATGACCTTCTTTTGAGATTCAAGGTGCTATCATAAAACAGTTGCTGAGGCTTTAGTAGCACGGACATCATGATGCTGGTATTCTCGGTGCTCAGCAGTAGACAGAGCGAAGCTAGCAGGAAGAAAGACACTAGGCAGTGTGTCAAACCAAACAGTGACACAAAACACATATGGAAGGTCCTTGCGTGAGTGAAATCGGTTGCTGTGGGATGTAACTATACTATTTTGCCACTTCACCTGCCTTAAATTTAAAAAAGGAAAGTAAGTTAATCTGACATCTGTGAAGAGCAACTTCTACATAGGAAAGAAGTAAGCTAGTCCTGGGTATCAGATATGAAAAGATTGCCTTGGGGTTGATTAAAACTTGTAGCTTTCCCACGGGGTTCCAGCTCAGTTTGTGTTTGTGCATGCAACAAGTTTCAGCCGCTCCAGATGCTCCCACAGGTCCCCACAGCTCCAGAGGCCCCCCGCAGCTCAGAGACCCCCCCACAATCCCAGGGCACTCCAAAGTTTGCCAGTCTTAGAGGCCCCCCACAGCCGCAGAGGCACCCACAGATCCAGAGATTCCCCATAGCTCCAAAGGCACCCACAGCTCCAGAGGACCCTCACAGCTCCCCACAGCTCCCCACAGCTCCAGAGGTTCCTCACAGCTCCAGTGGCACTCCACAGCACCCCACAGCTCTTTACAGTTTCCTACTGAACTGCTCCCACTAGAGCAGCCGTGGAGTACCACTATCAGGAGAGGCTGTCTGCGATAGATGTTCTTGCTGCTCTTAGAGGAGCCCTTGGATGCTGTTAGCATGTGAGGCTGCCTATGGTGTATCTGGTGTAGCTGCTCTCTAGCAAACCAAGAGCAAAGGAAAGTCTTGCTTCAAGTAGAGCACATTTATTAGACCTATTTAATAATCTCTGTTTGTGTTCACCAAGTGCATGCTTTAAAAGACATGCCTTTTTGCAGCCTTGTCAATTTCAAAGGAACAAAGCATGCTTTGGATTAACCATGTTGCTTTACTTGCACGTTCTTTGAGTCGATTTGTTCATATATATTAGTAATAGTTTAATTTTTATTTATTGCAATAATTATTTTACAGTTAGTGTATGGTGGAGGAGGAAGCAAGGAATGGGCATTTATATGTTGGAAGTCTTTTGATTTAAACTTGGGAGACTTCTGTGGTCAACCACATACACACGCTGGAATATCCCCCGAACTTTGCTATCACAATTTCCAGGATGTGATTCAACTCCCCTCATCTGAAGGGAAGAAACTGTGATGCAGCCAAGCTGCGGCTTTTAGTGAAAATAAGTGAACATTTGCATCTAATTTGTGGCGAGAATGTGCTGAGACCCGTGATCTTCACTTGCTTTGTAAGCGTTCTATGAACCACCGAGAGCCCCGGCCTCTCCTGAGGATGGAAAGTGTTAGCTGCCTGTGTAAAAATGTCAGAACCTATTTCACACATGCACACTGTACTAAAAAGGATACGGATATTTTCCCTTCGCTTTCCTCCGGTTGGGTTGCAGCAACATGCCTTCACCAGATATAGAGCAATGAGTGTGTGTTGACTTTCTTGCAATTCTTGCATGAGCCTGTCACTGCCTACTCAGGATCTAATATTTTAGACAGAGTTGGTTCTTGATTGGCTTAAATTTAAGCTTCTATTAGGCATTGGGGTTGTGAATGAAATCAAATGGGCCAGAACTTTAGTAGCTTTGACTCTCCACCTCCTCAGCCATGTAAAGGGCACACATCCAAATGGTTGAAGATGTGTGCGGAAGAGAACTCAGCACGTGGTAGAACCTACAGCCAAGCAGAACATATATGTATATTCTTAACACTGGGAAGAATCTTGAACAAGACCCAAATCCTTGTATGGATTATAATTTGATGTCAAGTTACATTACAGTAGAATCACCATCCATTTGGATAGTTCTGTAAGATTTTAGCATCTTTGTAAGATAAACTGTGGAACATCTTAAATTTAGTCAATTTACTCAGCTTTGCAAAACTAAACTAACAGTTCACAGCCATGAAACATTTGATATCACTAAGATTCTTAGAGGCTGACATTTTTCTTTAAAAGTACTAAGTAGCAAGTAGCTGTATATGAACTGAACAGGTTATATTCGTGTGTGTGTTTGTGTGTGTGTGTAAATACACATGTGCACACAATAGCAATTAGTGATAAAAAATTGAAGGAGAATAGGGAGGGGTACATAGGAGGGTTTAGAGGGAAGAAAGGAAGGGGAAATATAATAATATAATATAATATTCTCAAAATAAAAAATGAAAAGCTACTGATCAACTAGGTCCACTCTTGGCTTCTCTTCAGTGTTGCTAATTGACAGGATGCCAAAGACACCAGAGTCCAAAAGGCCTGAAGTTCTGTTTCTTTAGTTTCCAATTGGAAAGCTGAGACTGGAGCAGACGTTGAACAAAGACATGCACTTGTCAGGTCTTTCACAGATGCTTCCTCGTAGGAGAAAGCAATATACCTCCATATCCTAAATACTGTGTGGTTCATGGAAACGCACTGACTGACCAGTCTCTGGTTTTGCCCATAGCTCGATGCCAATGGGGAGCTGCTCATTCGCAATGCCCAGCTGAAACACGCCGGAAGGTACACCTGCACGGCACAGACCATCGTGGACAACTCTTCAGCTTCCGCTGACCTTGTTGTGCGAGGTAAGAGTTGCCAACAATTCCGATGAACACAAACCCCCAGGTATTTGACGTTCAAATTTGAAGAGTCTTCTGGTCACCCTGGATATCCAGATCCTCATGTGTTTACAGTACGACTCCGTTCTGCAGATGTGTTTCTGGTTTCCTCCCCACAGCTTGGGAATGGCTTACCCTAGACGAGTAGTAAAAGCACTCATTCTGTTTGTGCCCCTGACCACGTGTCTTCTAGAAAGTTACACACCACAAGCCTCTTCCTTACTGTGTTTAAAGCTAAACACTCACTAAGCTCCGTGTTTCCCTCTAATGCTTTTCAGTGTGTGGTATAACGCAATTAGCTCTTTACTTCAATTGGGGGAAAATTGATGGGCATTGCTTACCTCAGCCACAAATGTGATATATTTGTTATTGTTGTCTTCGAATTAAAATGTGGATTGATGCAATACCATGTCGCTGTGTACTGCTAATTTTGTACTACTGCTTTTGCTGGCAGTGGTGATGGAACCGAGAATGTGATGGACTAAGTGTGTATGGCAAATGCAATCCCTTTGCCCTTCTGCTGTGGAGGGGAATGATTTGGAAAGAGAGCTAGCTGTGAACTGTTCTCCACTGGTTCCCCGCCTGTACAAAGAAGGCATTCCTCTTAGCTCAGTTCCAAAGACATTCCAGGGGTTGCCTGCAGTCTCTTCACCTTAATGTCTTCCTATTTCTGGTAACCATCTCCAACTATCCAGCAGCTCACAAAGTGCTTTAGTATTTCCACATGTATTCTTTGACCTGGTATCCTTTTAATGGTTTTTCTGTGTCATTTGTTGCCCACAGTTTACCACCCTTCAAAGCCTGCTCAAGTATTAGTCTAGGATTTCTCTGGTGGCTCACATATTAGTTCTTCTCGGAACCTTTAGAATTTCTATCGTTTCATATCAACTTGTGTATAACTTATTATTGTCTACTATAAAAATCATGTGCATTTTGACTAATATTTAGTATGTCACATAATTTTATGTGAAAATTTTATGACTACTTTTTTCTTATTTTTTTTTAATTTTTTGCACTTACTATCTTTTAACATTTGAACATTATTTAAGTGCTTATTTTAAGACAATTTTTGAAAATGAGACAAATACTTAGTAAATAAAATATTTGGGGCTTGTACAACTGAATGCCCCCAGGCTCATACCCATCTGAATTCCCCTCTAGAACAGCAAAAACAAAGAGTGAACTCTTGGCCAACAGGAGGCAATGCTGAAAAACCCTTCAGTCTCGTGCAGGGGTAGCAAGGACCTGACTGAAATTTCTTTATCCAAATTAGCTCGTTTATCCATTCCACAGACCGTTTACTACAAATTAATACAGAAAACGCCATTACACAGTTCCAGGGTAACAGAACTTCTCTTGAGTTCAGACTCTCCATTCTTAGTAAATTGTTACTTGAGGCACTGACTACCTTCACAAGTCATTCGAGAAAGAAACAAGTTTACTTTCCTTTCTAACCAGACACTAGCTACAAATCCATTTTTGGCAGGACCCTAAATAAGGATCTTACTAGAATCATTTAACATATTTTAAGAAGAAGTGGAGAGGTTAGAGGCAGGGAGGGGAGCAGAAAAAAATGTAGAGCTCAATAAAAGTCAATAAAAAAATAAAAAAGAACAAGAATCAGTGTTACCAGAGGGTTCATGTGGCAATGCATGAACATCCATGTTCTCAGAATCATGATAAGATCATAATGGTGATATTGGCATACATGATAGGTGTTTTATGTACACATGCTTAGTAATTAATAATAATTCATTGTTTATATTTTTACAGAGCAAAAACTAATTTTAAAAAGATGCTATAATAGGTAATATGTCGAAATTTTAAAAAGAAACATTTTGTATAGCAATATTTGGTTCTATGGAGAAAGGTGCCTGGCAAGAGTCTAGCAAGTGCACTCAGGAGATGCATGGTGCAGCTTCAGGCCCTGGCAGTGGTGGGTGCTGCACAGGGGAATGGATGGTGCTATTTACTCCATGAAAGCTGCTCAGTCACAGACTCACCAACACGGAAAAGGTGTCTATTATGTGTAACCAGTAGACAGATTAAGTTCTCCAGAGTTTATGTGTGCCACAGTGTACACACTGTAGAACTTCTAAATGTCTCAACATTTGGATTAGAGGGTGAAGGGATAAACAATTCTCTATATTGTATCTGACAATACAAATAATGTTCTTAGTAACATAGCCATCTAATTGTACTTTTGCATCTCGTTCAGGAAGTCATAAACTGTGTTTATTTATTTCTTTGGAAAGAACAAAATGTTAATAAGCTTCCTGTAATGAAACTAAAGGCAAGCTCAGAATATAAATTTGAATCAGGCATGGTGGTACATCCCTTTCCGCTCAGCAGAGTGAGGCCAGAGGTAGGGATAACTCTGTGAGTTCCAACTTGGCTTCATCTACATAGACTGTAAATAGCAATTGGAACACCAATGTGTACCCCACACTTCAATAACAAACACCCATTTCTCAAACACAATGGAGTGTACAGCAGCCCACTCTTACCTGAAGTTTTTCTTTCTAGGCTCTCAGCTAGCCAAGGTCAATAACAATCTAATTATATTAAATGGGTAACTTGAGATACAAGTAATTCATGGTCTTCAAGTAGTGTATTCTTGTGTGTGGTGTGATGAAACCACATGTATCCCACTCCATCCTGCCTGGAATGTGTGAGTCATTCTCTGATCAGTGTATCAAGTTTTATAGCCACTGTTCTCAGCCTGGAGGTTGCAACCCCTTTGGGAGTGGCATGGCCCTGTTACAGGGATCATGTAGGACCATCAGAAAACATATTTATGTTACAATTTGCAATGGTAGCAAGATTAGAGTTATGAAGTGGCAATGAAAATAATTTTATGGTTGGGGTTCATCACAACGTGAGGAACTATATTAAAGGGTCACAGCATTAGGAAGGGTGAGAACCACCATTGTATAGCCTGCCCACTTGATAGTTGCTTAATAGCCATTTTTTTGATTCAAATAACCTTTATCCCACTTAATAATTATTCCAAAGCACAATTTCATTACACCATAGCTTGATAACTTTGCATTAGTTATTAATCTCTTCATGTATTAGCTTGAGAAAAATGAATGCAGAGAAGAAAATGTCAGTGGCCCACATCTTGTGTGCATGTATTTGAGTATGTATTCTGTGTGCACATGTAACTGTAATGAAGGAGTGGTGCTGCATATATCAGAAAATAGAGCATGCCTTTCGTTATTATTTTAAATTAATTTATGAATGGACACAATGAATTACATCTACATACCTTTTTATGGGTCTATTTTCCAATGCAATAGCACAATACCTGAACTAGCATAGTGTATATAGAAAGGAGGCTTATGTACATCATAGTTTATAAGGATGGAAGCCCCACCCTATCACTGGCTCAGTTCTGCTGGGCAGCGAAAGACACATGTAACACAGAAAGGCCACAACATATCTCACTCATGTGTGTGTTTGATTCATACCACGAGGCTGTAACCAAAGCAAATAGAAAGAAAACCCTCCATGGCCTAATACCTCATGATAGGCCCTATATTGAAAAGATTCCACCATTTGGAAACCAAACTTCCCACACGTGAAGTCTCGGAGAATCATACAAACTGTATGCAAACCTTAGCAGCCTCTAAAAAAACAATACGGGTGAGTGTAACTGGAGCTATTGCATGGGACATTCTGCTTAGAGGAGATGATCTGCTGCATGTTGGTGAGGTCTAAGGAATAAGGGAAAAGGCAGCATTGTTGGCTGTAAACAACTCATCAAAATGGCACCAGTATTTAGGCAGAAGACATCGTCTGTTAAAAAAAAAAAAACAAACTTGAATGTATTTAAACACAAATTCTGTATAAGGTGGCTTAAAGAAGATAAGAGAAACCGTTGTGCAGAATTTGATCCACCAGCTCTACTCCAGCTGGAAACTGGGGCTCGCACAGACCCTGAGCTTTTACTCTCCCCAAGCTGACTTTTCTATCATTTCTGTCTATCCATGTTGGAAATATTCCTATAACGTTTATGCCGCATAGCGATTACCTCTACAAGAGCTTGCACTTCCGGTAGTATGCTTCTAGAATTTCAGTACACAAAATTCAAGACGTGGATAAAACTCTGGCAAAAAGAAAAGATGATTCTCTCTAACCCAGACAGTCTTACACTCAGCTCTCTCATGTTCCCAACAAACTGATAAATCAAGTATGAAATTATGTAAAGGACACAGCAAGTAACAAAGGAAGCATGTGGTGATAAGAGATTCAAGAGGAAGAAATGAAAAGAACACAACTCAAGCCAACATTCAAAGGATAGTTATTAAAGTACGACTTAAGATAATGCTGAAATTGTGAAATTATTCAGAGTGGTGCTAATCAAAAAAAACTATAAAAATTCAGTAATAAGGAGAGAGAAGAAATGCCTTTAAGTGGTGTAGACGTACCGTCATTGAAAATAGAAATAAAAAAAGTAGCACCTCAGTGACAGACAAGGGATGGATCAGAAAGCTGGAAGTCACACTTGATAAAATCATATTTCATTATAAAGAATACAAAATTAGACATTAAAAAAGGTAAAGACATTGAATATGTAGCTGAGCCTGTGGCATGGACCTCTGGGCTTAGCTACTTGGGGATCTGAGGCAGGAGGATGACTTTATCTGAGAACCAGACTTTCAAATATTGTTAGGCCCAATGCAAAAAAAAAATTGGGAAAGACACTGAGGATATAGCAAGAAATTCTTGTGTTCCAATTGAATTATTAAGGAAAAATCAACAAAAAAGGAGAGAACCACATTCCAAGACAGGTTGGAGACCAATATGGGAAGGTCAAGGACAAGCAGGATCCCCCCTGTTCAAGAATCACAAGTAAAAATAAAACTTCAGAAAACCAAAAGTAAATGCAGTGTTATACAAGCAATCCCAGTGAAAAGGATCTTCTTCACAAGGATACAATGGTACATGGACAGTAGGTTATT